TTTGGGGTGGTAATTATGCTAATCTCCTCTCGCGTGCACGAGCAGCTGGATATGAACAGGTGGAATTTACGCAGCTCATTTACGCACGTTTCCTGAAGATAGAGTTTGTTGAATCTGACCTGACATGTTCGTACGAACCCTTTGTACGAACAAAAGAGAAATTTAGGATAAAAATACAAACATGAGGCCCATTGTTCTCTCCTCATCACTTTGCTAAAGGTTTGCAAATGGTTTAATCGATTTAAAACGGAACAAAATGTTTCAGCTGAAATACATTTTTTACACCTGTAGGTCACAAAGTTAGATTTCTAGACACTAAAGTCCTGGGGTGGTCAGGGCACGGTGCAGAGTTGTTGGTAATGTTTCAGTTCTCTGCCCCGGCTGCAGTTAACCGGTCTCATGAAACAAAGATGTTTTAATAATTTACTACATCATCAGGTTCTGTTGGGGTAGCAGGGTGCCTTCGTTTAAAATGGTCTGGGAAACTCTTATCGGGGCGTTCACCTGTAGCCTGCGTTGACATTGGGAACACTACTGCAGTTCTCTTAAAGAACCGTCAGTAACTCTTCTATCCTTGGATTGTTCGGTTTTAGGGAGACCATAGTTTGTTTTTTTTTTTTTTTTTTTTTTGAGCAGTGTATTTTAACTTAGTTATTCAGTGAAAGTTTTATTTTTACTAAATTCTCCATCTTTCTCCAGGCAAAAGCTGGCAGGCTGACGGGGACTTGCATTTTACAGGACGGATTATCTGGTAACTGACCATTTAGCTGGTAAGCCTTTACTGTACTTGTTTACATTTGCAGTGAAATAATTTATTTTCTATAATTAAAACAAAAACAAAACAGCTGATTACAATACATCCTTAAAAAGTCTTAATTTGTTAAAACAAAAATAATTCGTATACATTGATTCAAAACCCAAGATGGATCGAACCATAAATGAGAAGGAGCAAAGAAAAGAGTCCCATCACATCTGCTCTCTTATCTTTAAAAATAAAATGCAACATCATTAATGACACTCTGATTCCAGCCTGATTAAATTGCAATATTTGCAAATAAAAAAAATAAAAACACAATCATGTCCAGCAACAGATTATATCACCGACTATCCCATATCATAATCTTTAGTTATTCAAAATATAAATTGTTCTGGAAGCTTTAGTATCAGAATGAAGGTTATTCCATGAACTTTATTCCTTGAACTGAAGTGCAGAGTTCCTACAAACCAGTTGTTTGAAAGCTTCATAGCGTTCACACAGAGAATTTTTTTTTTCTACTGTACGTTTTTCAGCATCTAACTTGTTCCACAATTTTTGTGCTATTTCAACATTTCATCTTTCAAAACGTTCAGCTCATTCATGTGAGAGATGCTATGACTTTTGGTATTTCAGCTTTTTACACTTTTTATAATTTTTTTTTTTAAAAGCTATTTCACTTTTTTCAGCCACTTTTTTGCCATTGAAAATGAATGGAGCTATTTTCAACATCCTGAAACTGCTTTAAAATGTTTCTAAATCTTTACAGAACCGTACGCATTTTGTTCTGGTTCTGCTCTTTTTCACATTCTTGTGCTAATTTGAGCTACGTTTTTGCTATTTCAGCAAAAATTCTGCCTTTTTTTTCTGCTAATTTCTGCAGTTTATGCTTCTTACAGATGCTTTCTGCTATATGCAGCTATTTGCTGAAAATTTAGCTAATGTTTAGCAGCCATTAGCTAAAGTTAGCTTTTCTAAGCTAAATATACATTTTTTGTAGCTCTTTAAAACTTTTTCTGAAAACTTAAGCAAACTTGTGCGCTCCTTATTATGCTAATTTAAATTCCAGCTACTTTTTAGCTGTTTTTTACTGAAAATTTCAGCTGTTTTAGCCATTTTGCTACTAATTATCACTTTTGTACTCATGCAATTCTGCTAGTTTTACCATATTTACAGCACTTTCTGTATCTGGGTGCTAATTTCAGCTTGTGGTTGCTACCTTAGTCTATTCTATGCTAATTTTAGCTTATTTATGCTACTTCAGCTATAGATCTGCTTCTTTCTGCTATGCTTTTGCTTTATTTTACTTTTCATGCCTTTTTTTTCTGCTACCTAGTGCTATTTATGCTTCCTGCAGATGTTGTCAGCTATATTTAGCTATTTTAGCTGTTTTCTGTTTTCAACTAGATGTGCTCCTTTTTTTCCTGCAATGTTAGTCTTTTTTGTTTCTTTCAGCTTTTCAATGTGATCTCACATGAACACCTTTTTACTAATAAATATTTCCAGCTCAATTTAAGCAGTTTTAAGTTTTCAGCACGAAGCGTTCACACTAGCATTTTCACAGGAAATGCAATTTCTCTAGTTAGAAATGACTTGGTGCTTGTTTTAAAGTGGCAGCTAATGTTTCCTTATAAGAAAATGACTAGCGCAGAAGAACAGTACTTATTCGAAACTGGCGTCTTTAATTTCAGGTAACAATAGGTAACTGGCACTGGTACAAGTCGTGTTCTTTCTGTTTGTGTAACTGGGAGGTGGAGCCCCATGTCATCTCCAACTACCGAAACTACTTTTTGTTCTCAAGCTCTAGGTCACCGCTTGTATAAAACTCTAATTAAACTTAAAAAAGCATGACTTTCTAATTATTGGTTCCATTGCTTAAATGTTCAGTCTTTGATGGTACGAAAGTCCAACTGAGCACAGCAGGCGTCTGTTTATAAAAGCTGACAAGGAAGAGGCCGCTGAGGGTTTTCTGTAAAATTAAAAGCTCTGGTGTGTCGAGGACGGGAAGGACGGACATTTAGTTGACAAAAGATGGAAATTCAGAATAGTTTCAGGCACTTTATAAAAAGATCCAGGTTTTAAATCAAGTTCAGCTTATTTAGTTAACCTAGAATTCCTCCACTAGGACACAATCGGAGAGTCCCTTTTTTTTTAGTTGTATCAAGTTTCATCAAACATTGAAGTAGAAACAAACAAGACAAAGCTCCCTTTCAGTTGCCACACTTTATTTACTTAGAACTGAAATGGTACTTGAGTTTAGAGTTCAACTTAACTTAGTTTTTTATGAACGATCACTGGAACAAATCCTCTTAACTCCCACTTTGATACAGTTCTTACACCACTGGACAGTGATGGGTGAAGACGTCTCAGTGTAGCTTCAACTCTGCTCACACAAATGTATTTTTTCTTTTTTTCTGGTACAAAGGTTTGTTCTATTTACTCAGCACTAGTTCTCAGCTTTCATCAACACTCTGTAGCCATCACTAATGTGACAAAGGTGATCATTAAGCAAAAATAGATAAGATAATAGAAGTTCGTTATGAGGCACCTGTAAGCCTGTTCATGTGACTCAGAATTCCTCGTATCTTATTTTCCAGTGAGCCTGTCGAGGCCATGACAAAACCTTACAGATACATTGATGGGGCTTTACTGATGCAGCACGTATACTTATCTGAAACGAGAGAACAAGGGCAAATGAACTAGATTTAAACATTTACTAACAGATATGATTATAGCTGACAAGTAAAATAAGTGGAGTTAAAGCTGGTTGAAAGAGGTCATTTATGTTGACAGATTTACAGAGGAGGGAAAATCTTGCAGACAGGCTGGGAGTGGACATCACCACTACCCACCTCCTCCTATCCAAGCCGGTGCATTTTATTCTGTCTCTCTTCCTCTGGCTTTATACAATAATGGTGGTCACACCTGTCGCTGCTTTACAATGTTTAGCAAGGCAGGGGGAAAAAAAACAACTTGCACACAGAAAAATCTGTTACATCTTTGGCAAACTTGAAGATCAGCTCAGTGCCCTGAGGGCGTCCTCGGGTGCTGCAAGCTGAAAGATGTCAGAAAACCAAACGGGGCATCCAAAAGATGGTCCAACGTCCCTCTAGCTTAAAGCCTGGAAAAATAAAAAACAAAGCAGGTGATACTTTTTAAACGGGCAATGTAAACCATCTGGGCTGAACTCCTCCCAGATTTCTGCTTTTTTACTCAACTTTACGTTAATTAAAAATACATTTTTGACTAGTATAACCCTCTTTTCTATTTATGTGGTGCTCTGGAGATGTGACTAAAAGTCTAAAGGTGTCTGCATCACAACACCACTTTCTAAAAACCAATTACTTGCGTGTATTTTTTTTAATGCTTCTGTGAATCCTGCTCTGTGGTATTTGTGAATATAACACAAGCTTTTCTTCCCAGTGGCACACTCGGACTCTGTGTTTAGTTTGGGATTTCAACCATGAGCTCAGTCGCTGTACTTACGCAGGAGAGTTTCAAGGAGCACCGCAGTGGGCTCCTGCAGGACAAGAATGGTACGTGTGTGACGTCAAAGGTTATGCTGGATTTATTGGGAGGGAATAATATTCAATAAATATTTGATACAGCTGCTGGAGGACCTGGGGCTGGAGAGGATGAGGAGGAACTTCCTACCTACAAGGATGCCTTCCCACCTCTACCAGAGAAAGCGGCTACACCTGAAGGAACCCAGGAACCTGTCAACGCTTGGACAAAGATTCGCCCCCTCAAGTCTTCTGTTATCACCCAGGTATAATTTTTTTTAAATGACATGCACACGCGAATGGCATGGAGGGGAAAGAAAGTAACTGAAAAGTCAAGGCTTCAATGATACCAGAGGTTATTGGAGGACTAAGAACTGAGACCCTCAGACTGGAGAGTTCCTCCAACAGACTTGAGGAACAATCTGAGAAATCTGTTTACTGATTGCTTTAGAAAATGGCATGTTATGCTATATTCACGTTTATACAGTGTCTATGGTGGTATGTTGTCAAATTAACATTACTGTTAGGGTGCAAGTTTTACCTCCAGACACCTTTTTTTTGACTTGCATTTTAAACAAGATAAATTTATTTGTATACACTATTAATGACAATGCTACCAAAATTATTCAAATTCCATGTGCCCTTTATTTTTAAATTGGCTTTTATTGTTGGCTGTTTTGCCAAAAATGTACAGTAATGCTAAATCCAGTAGTGTGGTTAGTGCTGATGTTGCTACAGTAGCTCACAACGTGATGTGACAAAGATGAACTCCAGCTGTTCTACATACCTCCATGTTTGTTGCTCTAAAGACAATTAGGTCATGTTTTCTAGATTGTGATCACCATTCATTCTGCAAAGCATGCAGTGCAGCCAAATGTTACATGATGCCACATATTTAATGAAACTCAACTGAAGTTCAAATTGTTGGCTCAGGCCTGTTGCATTCAACAGGGTTCATGTATGGTCTTGAAGTCTAAAATTTGTAAATTAAAATTTTAGGCCTAAAAAGTGTCTTTTCATCCAAGGTCTTAAATTTAATTTTGCCTAGTCTTAATTTTTGTTTTATTGTTCATTCCAGTTGGCTGCATAGAGTAAAGCGCTGTAATCAGAGGTTGACATGATCTGTCTTAAAGTGCAAAGTTTGCTACCGGTCTTGGTACGTGATTAAACTACAAATCCCGTGGTAACTGCAGTAAAAAAAAAATGGCACAGTGTACTTCCATGTTTTCAACCTCTTTGTTGCTACAACCCCTGACATACAGCGACTTGTTCACCCACCCAAAAACAAAGAAGTTCAGTCATGTCCACTGCTTGTCGTTTAATCATTGGAAAGTGTGTTTTCAGTGAGACTTGGCTTTATCAGTGATTTTTGTACTCAGTTGGAAGCGATCCACAGCAGTAGATATGACCGTTTGATTTAAAATGGTGTTCTTGTATTAAAATTAAATATTCTTTAATAGCTTAATTGATGGCAATAAAAGGTTTCTATGTTAAAATTTCTGGGACCATTTGACTGTTTCTGTTAATGCATCGGTTTGGTCTGAAATGTCATTCCTGTTGGTCTTAAAAGGTCTTTTTTTAATTTAACTTCCTGAAACCTGCATGAACCCTGATTCAAGTTTATGGAAACGTTTATAAAAGTAGCATATTCCATAAAATATTGTTCAGTGACGATGTCCTAAAATGGAGTCCTACTTTTTAAATCACTGCTGACCTAATTCCCACTCCCCCTCCGGTATGTCTAAGGTTTTCCATGTACCGCTGGAGGAGCGCAAGTACAAGGACATCACTCAGTTTGGGGAAGGAGACCAAGCGAAGGTCTGTGTGGACATCATGCAGAAGACCGGCGCCCACCTGGAACTCTCCTTGGCAAAAGATCAGGGTCTCTCCATCATGGTTTCTGGAAAACTGGAAGCTGTGATGAAGGCCCGGAAGGAAATCGTGTCCCGACTGCAGACTCAAGTAAGATTTCATCGTAGCTTAGAAACCGACGTGTTCATGTACTGAGACAATGACGGCCGTTTCGATCCCAACAGGCTTCAGCTACTGTCGCCATCCCTAAGGAGCACCATCGTTTTGTCATCGGCAAAAATGGGGAGAAACTTCAGGAGCTGGAGCTCAAAACCGCCACCAAAATCCAGATCCCACGACCTGACGATCCCAGCAACCAGATTAAGATCTCTGGTACGAAGGAGGGCTTAGAAAAGGCCAAGCATGAGATCCTGTTGATCTCTGCTGAGCAGGTAATTTGGCTTAAAATGTCACTTCCGTATGAGATGCTCTTCAATCACTGTAGCATTTTGTTTTAATCATCCTGGCCTGTTCCACTCTTCTTTTAGGACAAGCGTGCTGTGGAGAGGGTGAACATCGATAAGGTGTACCACCCCTTTATTACTGGCGCCTACAACAAGCTGGTAGGAGAGATGATGCAGGAAACCGGTGCTCGCATTAATGTCCCCCCTCCAAGCGTTAATAAGACTGAGATCGTCATCACTGGGGAAAAGGAGCAGGTGGCCCTTGCTGTGGCTATGATCAAGAAGATCCATGAAGAGAAGGTATGTAACAAATGTTACAATTCTTCACTTGTTTTTAAAATGTGTCTTATAGCAACCTGTTTCCTGTTGTAGAAGAAGAGTACCACCACCATCGCAGTAGAAGTGAAGAAATCCCAGCACAAGTATGTGATCGGCCCCAAGGGAAACACCCTGCAGGAGATCCTGGATAGAACTGGTGTTTCGGTTGAGATCCCACCTTCTGACAACAGCTCAGAAACTGTCATCCTTCGCGGGGAGCCGGACCGTCTGGGTCAGGCCCTCACTGAAGTTTACGCCAAGGTAAAATCACGCTTCTACGTCTCTGAATTCTTACAGAAGCGAGAGGAGAGGGAGTGGTAATATTAAACTCGTTGTGTTTTCAGGCAAACAGTTACACTGTTTCCTCGGTCTCGGCTCCTTCTTGGCTTCATCGTTTCATTATCGGCAAAAAGGGGCAGAATTTGGCAAAGATCACCCAACAAATGCCCAAGGTCTGATCAGCTGGAAACTTAAACTTATTGCTTTTCTTGAACTGTAATTAAACTTGTATGTTCCTGTTTTTGACTATAGGTTCACATTGAATTTACTGAAGGAGAAGATAGGATCACTTTGGAGGGTCCAACCAAAGACGTACAAATGGCTCAGGGTCAGATTGAAGTCATTGTTACAGATTTGGTAAGCATAACTGTTTCATTATCTTCTGCTTTCTCCTGAGTCTGGTCTCAGCCACCTCTTCCAGCTCCTCTGGGAAGATTCAAGGCATTCCTAGGCCAGAAGAAATCCTCTTCAGTGTGTCCTGGGTCTTCCAGGAGGCACCTCCCTAGAGAGGTGTCCAGGAGGCATCCTTGCCATATAAACCACCTCAACTGGCTCTTCTAGATGTGGAGTAGTAGTGGCTCTACACTGAGTATTTCACAGGTAACTGGACTTCTCTATTTGTAAGGAAGAGTCCAGCTACCCTGAGGAGAAAACTAGTTTCAACTGCCTGAATCTGGGATCTCATTCTTTCAGTCTCTACCCAAAGTTCATGACCCCAGGTGAGGGTAGGAATGTAAATAAACTGGAAAATCTAGAGCTTTGCTTTTTGGCACAGCTCTCTCTTCACCACGACAGGCTGCAACACTGCAGAAGTTTCACTTTTATTTATTAATCCTTTATTTTACTAGGTGAGATCCATCTACCAATTAGGGATAGGTATTGTGGTGGAACTAATACTTTTCGGTTTAAGCCAGTAATTCATGAAAACTTAGGTAATAAAGTATGTCATGAATTACTGGCTTAAACCTAAAAGTATTAGTTTCATCACAGGTATTGTTAAGGTTTTATCGATACTACTACTACCACCACTCTTATCGATCTGGTGTTTTAACGTTTCTCTTCTCGATACTTTTCTATTGGAATAAAACCAGTGTTTTCCCCCAAGGGAATTGGGGGTGGCGGGGTTACGCCAAACAAAAAACAAACAAAACTAATGCACGTAATCACGTGCATTAGTTTTGTTTGTTTTTTGTTTGTTTTTTGTTTGTCAGCTTTGGTGACACAGAATATGAACCATTTTTCATCCTTTTTTTCTTTTCCTCCCAAGTTTGACAATATAGAACTTACAATAAAACCACTTATTCTTTAATTTGTGTTTTAACTACACTAACCTCGAGTCATAATGTAAATCTTGTCTTCAAAACACGTCTTCAGATACAGAACAGAAGTTCAGTTGCTTTGTCTTTTTTCCTTTTAATTTTCCATGTCCTTGGTGACTGATAATCCACAGTAAAATATGATGGTAACGTCAAGCGATCGCGAATAGCATCAATGCTAAAGTTACTCAATCAATTCTTATCGATCCTGTCAAAATTCATCACGTGGAACCAGTACTGAAAATACTGGTTTTCGGTACCATCCCTACTACCAATCCCTCTCTCATGAACAAAACTCGAAGATACTTTAACTCCTCCACTTGAGGCAGAACCTCACCCCCAACCTGGAGAGAGCAATCCACCCTTTCCTGACTGAGGACCATGGACTCAGATTTGGAGGTGCTGGTCCTCATCCCAGCTGCTTCACTCTGCTGTGAACCGTTCCAGTTAGAGCTGAAAATCACTGCACGATGACACAAACAGAACCACATCATCTGCATATAGAGAGAATCCTGAGGCCACTGAACTGGATCCCTTCCGCCCCCTGGCTATATTGAGAATTTCTGACCATAGGAGTTGGGAACAGAATCGATGACACTAATGCCTTCTTCAGATCCCCAAAACTCATCTAGACTGGATTATTCCAATAGTGTAGAACCCAGAACATGACAAATGCCTTCATGTAAAGAGCTTGTGCTATGAAAAGTAAAATATGTCAATTATTTTTAACAGGTAAGCCGAATGGACTACACAGAAATCACTGTGGACCCTAAATTTCATCGTCACCTGATTGGGAAAGCAGGCGTTAACAGTAAGTGTTTTTCATCGGATCGTGTGTGTGTGTGTGTGTGTGTGTGTGTGTGTGTGTGTGTGTGTATTTCAGCAGTGTAGTAAACTCTTATTTCCTCACAAACCTTTTTAGTCAACCGCATCAAAGAGCTGCACAAGGTGACCGTCCGTATCCCCCCTGACAACGAGAAGAGCAACCTCATTCGTATAGAGGGGGACCCCCAAGGTGTGCAGGAAGCGAAGAGGGAGCTGCTAGAGCTCGCGTCACGCATGGTTGGTTCAGATTCAAGTCCACTTGCACGTTGATTTCCCACAATGCTGTACGTCACTTTTAATATTGCGTCTTGACAGGAGAACGAGCGTACAAAGGACTTGATAATCGAACAGCGTTTTCACAGAGCCATCATCGGCCAAAAAGGGGAGAAGATAAAGGAAGTGCGGGATAAATTTCCAGAGGTCGGTCAGGGAAACGATGGGTATTGGTTGGCCTGATTGTTTGTTCTGTAGTGAACCTGACCTTATTTTATGACTTGTTCAGGTCATCATCAACTTCCCCGACCCAGCACAGAAAAGTGACATCGTTCAACTCAGAGGCCCGAGGACAGAGGTGGAAAAGTGTTCCAAGTTTATGCAGAAGATGGTTGCGGAAATGGTAAAATTTGTTGGATTTTTTTTTTTTTTTTTTTTTTGTTTTTCAATCCAGTAGCAAAGTGTTGATGGTATGTTGTGACTTGGCGCTATATAAATAAACTTGACCTCCACGTCTCCTTTTTTGATCAGGTTGAGAACAGCTACTCTGTCTCCGTTCCAATCTTCAAGCAGTTTCACAGAAACATCATTGGAAAAGGAGGTTCCAACATCAAGAAGGTACTTCCTGCCCCTTTTGCTCTTCTGATCTTTGAAGTGCCTGTGACATCAAATTTTTGTAATAATTTTGAATGCGTTTTTGGAAAGATAACATAGGTAACATGTAGCAAAACAAATTTCATGCCGCTGAGATGAACAGTTGTTGAGATATTGGCGTGTGAAGAAACGGGAAGTGATGTCATAGGGGAATGTCTGTATGTAAACAGAGCAATGCAACAATTAGAGAAGAATCTGATGTTTCTTTAGATTATTTTTGTGTCACTATCAGAGTTGACGAGTTTAAATAAGATTGTTTCAGTAAACAAAGACTAGTTTCTTAGAGTTGCCTTTTGATGTCACTTCCTGTTTCACTTTGCTGAGCCAAATTCAAGAGAAAATGTCAGTTGTTAGACAAAATGGGTAAAATAATGTGTATTAAGCTAGTTTTCTTAAATATAAATATTTTCTTTGACTTTTTGTATTTGAAGTTTAAGCATGTCAGGCCCTTTTTTTTAAAGATTTTGACGGCTGCTTTCGTTTTACTTTCTAGATTCGAGAGGAAACCAACACAAAGATCGACCTGCCTGCTGAGAACAGCAACTCTGAGATGATCATCATCACAGGGAAGAAGGCAAACTGCGAGGCTGCGCGCAGCCGCATCTTGGACATTCAGAAGCAGCTGGTAAGTTCCAGGGAATTAATCTGTCTGTCCGAATATTGTGTTCAGGCTAACCTAATCCAGTGTTTTCTAATATTGTGTTCAGGCTAACATCACAGAACTGGACGTGTCCATCCCCTCAAAGTTGCATAACTCCCTGATCGGGTCGAAGGGCCGTTTGGTGCGCTCTGTCATGGAGGAGTGCGGTGGCGTGCACATCCACTTTCCCACCGAGGGCTCGGGGATTGATAAGGTCACCATCAGAGGCCCCGTGGAGGATGTGGAGAAAGCAAAGCAGCAACTGCTTGCCTTGGCAGAAGAGAAGGTTTGTGCAAATGATTCTTAAAAAGCTGAACTTCTGCTGACCCTGCTAAACTGACAACCATGTGATGTGTTGGGGGTGTGTGTTAGGGGAAAGGGTGCAAGACCAAAGAGCTGCTTTTGTGCTTCATTTGTCTCAAAAGTCCCCACCTGAGGAATTCCTGTGCGAAGTTGTGAGACCAGTTTCTTTAACGGGATTTTAGTTGTTTTTGACACCCAAGTGAGAAAGTAGTTTTAGTAGAACAGGGGTTTCTAAACATTTTAATGCAGTGGACCCACCCTGCAGGCTCTCATACAATGCTACAAAATATGTGAAGAAACAACTTTTAGAATGTTTTATTCATTATCCAATAATTAAAACATTTGTTTAGCATAAGAATTTTATTAGTTCAGCAGTTGTTTTTTTTTTTTAGCTTTATATAATGTCATTTCCTCATCAAAAACATACCCAGAGTGTTTCTTTGACTCATTTATGCATGTTTGAAAAAACTTGAATCTCATGTGGAGCTGCATAAATGCTTGTTAATACAAAGTGCTGTCTATTTACTAGAGGCACAGATTTCCTTAATTTTGGGAGATCGGTGATACTTCAATATAAAGATCAGCTTCTGTTCTTCCTCTACAAAGGTCTGAAAATCAGCCACTGCCCCCTTTGGCTCTGCTGTGAGCACTACCTAATGTCCAGTTAAAACAAGTTTGTTTTGTTTTAGGGGTATTGTTCAAAGTTTCAGTAAAATAAGATTGGAACATTGAATGTGTATTATGACCTGATAACACCTGACAGACTCGGCTGTTTTTTAGATAAAATCTGAATCGGCAAGTTTTCACCCTTACCACTTACCCAAAGCTCATTCCCCGGCTGACCTCCTGCCCCACAGAGCATCCTTCCCCCACTCAGTGCCACTAATGGCAGGACAAACATTTCTTTACAAATCACTAAGATTACACTGCAAAACGTATCATTTTAAAATGGTGGATGTTCACGATTTCATTGCAAAACATAGCATCATAATGTATACTTAGTTTAAAAAATAGCTTAAAATTTTATAGATTTGTCTGAGATGATGACTGGGGGAGATATTACCAAGCTGAAATATCTTGTAAGAGCCTCTGTACTCGCTCCGGGTCTGACATGGGATCATTTGAGTAAGTTCCAAAACCAATTTTTATATAATATTGCCGGTTTTAAGTGCATGTGTATTTGTTTATTTGTGTATTTTTTATTTGTTTGTGTATTTATTTAACACAACAAAATTTAACTTTCTTACAAAAGGTTATAAACTCTACGAAGTGTTGTGAAGATGTGCTGTAGTGGGAGTGTCTGAAACTGTAGGAGGTTCTCAAAGAGACAGGGGCCAAATCATATTTATGCAGTGTTTTCATAACTGAAGGTAACATGGTTACTTGATTGTGTTAGAATTTAACTATGCGCCTGGAAAATACACAATACCTCCCCCCTTTTTTTTTAAAAGGAAAGGAGAGACCTGTGTTATAAAAGCTTCATAAACAGCACATTGTAATTCTTTTAACTATGTAAAAGCAGAAACTTTTTTTAAAATAAAGGTTTACAGGATTTCCTATCTGCTAAAAAAGTGAAGTTCCGTGTTCATTATGACCTCATGATTAAAATACTTAAGTGTTTTTCTCTTGTTTTTTCAGCAAACAAAGAGTTTCACTGCCGAGCTGCATGCAAAGCCAGAATACCACAAGTTTCTCATCGGGAAAGGTGGTGGAAACATCCGTAAGGTTCGTGACAGCACCGGAGCCAGAATCATCTTCCCCACAGCAGAGGACAAAGACCAGGAACTCATCACTGTGGTCGGCACAGAGGAAGCTGTGCGCACAGCCCAGAGAGAGCTGGAGGAGCTCATCAAAAGCCTGGTACAACTAGAGATTACTCTTTAAATCAAGACTCCACGTTTATTTTTCACGTTCCTACATTTGAAACCTGTTCTTCTCGCAGGACAACATTGTCGAGGACACCATGAACATTGACCCCAAGCACCACCGCTACTTCGTGGCTCGCCGCGGTCAAGTCCTCAGGGACCTCGCCGACGAATACGGCGGCGTGATGGTGAGCTTCCCTCGCACGGGCTCTCAGAGCGAGAAGGTCACCCTGAAAGGAGCCAAAGAGTGCGTGGAGGCAGCCAAGAAGCGCATGCAGGAGATTACCGAGGACTTGGTCAGTGGAGAACATTTGGTTTTTGTTATGTTTGTGCTTGAATGAATTTATTAATTTTTTTTAATGTAACCTACCAGGACGCCCAGGTGACCATGGAGTGTGTGATTTTCCAAAAGTTCCATCGGTCCATCATGGGTCCCAAAGGCTCGAGGATTCAGCAGATCACCAGAGATCACAATGTGCAGATTAAGTTCCCAGAGCGTGAGGACCCACAAGGTATTCTGGAGAACTGCCAGTTTTATATCACTTTAACTGAATTCATGGTTCCCGCAGGGTCTTAAAAAAAGTCTAAAATTTTAAAATCTAAATTTTAGGCCTAAAAATGTCTAAAAAAACGTCCCGGATTTTCATCAGGTCTTAAATTTAGATTGGTCGAGTCTTATTTTTTTTTTACATTTAATCATTCCCATGACATGTTAGCTGCGTAAATGCAGAAGTTGATGCGATCTGTCTTCATGAGGTGCTGCTGGGTTTGGTGCTGGTGTTATGTGCCTAAACTACAAATCCCACCATAACTGCAGGAAATAGCTCAGTTTATGACCCCTAAAAAACCTCTGAATACTTGTGTATTTAGGCTGCATGTGCCCTGGGAGTGGGATAGCCTTTCGGCTGCATGTGCCCTGGGAGTGGGATAGCCTTTCGGCTGCATGTGCCCTGGGAGTGGGATAGCCTTTCGGCTGCATGTGCCCTGGGAGTGGGATAGCCTTTCGGCTGCATGTGCCCTGGGAGTGGGATAGCCTTTCTATGTCTTAATTTAGTAATTCAGTTTCTTTCAACTATGACACCAAAATAGATTTTAAATTGGTATTAGTCAAACCAATATTTAGACATTTCTGTGTTTAAACATTTCTGGAGATATTTGAATATTTCTATCAATGTGTCAGGTTGGTCTTAAATTTCATTCCTAATGGTCTTAAAATGTCTTAAATTTAACTTACTGAAACCTGCAGGAACCCTGGAATTCTTAACAGAAGGAAAATTCCATCTCCTCAACACCAGTGTTGTATTTAAGAGACTACAAATTAATGAATTTATTAATTTTTTTCCTCGTGTCTTCAACAGCGCCTCCTGCAGAAGCTCCTGTTCAGGAGAACGGAGAAGCAAACGGTGAAGTGAAGGAACCCGTTGATCCAAATGCCCCTAAAAAGTGTGACGTGATTGTGATTTCTGGACGTAAAGAGCGCTGCGAGGCTGCCATGGAGGCGTTGAAGGTTAGAGCTGACACTGTGGCTGAAGTCAACGGTAAAGCTACATTTCAGATGGAAAACTAAATTTGTTTTTCTTTCTAAAGGCCTTAGTTCCAGTCACTATTGAGGTGGAAGTGCCTTTTGAGCTTCATCGATACATTATTGGACAGAAGGGAAGTGGAATTCGCAAGATGATGGATGAATTTGAGGTTTGTTTAGTCTCTTTTTATTTATTTTTTCTCCTAGAGTTGCCAGAGTCTTATTTTCCTTCCATCTGCTCCCAGGTAAATATTCAAGTGCCTGCTCCTGAGCTGCAGTCTAATAAAATAGCAATCACTGGCTTGGCCACCCACCTTGACCGTGCCAAAGAAGGCCTGTTGGAGCGCGTCAAAGAGCTGCTGGCCGAGCAGGAGAACCGGGTAGGTATTTGGGTTTTACTCCTTTTTTTTTTTTTAATCCTTTGGTACCGCAGGCTTTGTGTTGAACTTTTCTCACATTCAACCCTCTGCAGGCTCTCAAGAGCTTCAAGCTGACCATCACTGTGGACCCAAAGTATCACCCCAAAATCATTGGCCGAAAGGGAGCCATCATCACAAACATCCGCACCGAGCACGATGTGAACATCCAGTTTCCAGAGAAGAATGATGAAAACCAGGTAGAACACTTGATCTGTTGCAGATACTTTTCTTATTCTAAACCATTAGAGAAACGAAGCTTTTGTTCTGCACTGGATCAAACCACAACCAGAGTGTAATTAATCTGAACCTTGATGTTTTTTTTGTTTTTTTTAAACAGGATCAGATCACAATCACAGGGTACGAGCAGAATGCCATCGCTGCACGAGACGCCATCCAGGCCATCGTGGACGAGCTGGAGGAGATGATCTCTGAGGACATCACCCTGGACAGCAGGGTCCACGCCCGCATCATCGGAGCTCGAGGCAAGGGCATCCGCAAGATCATGGACGAGTTCAAGGTGAGGGTTCCTGAGAACGAGGTAACGTTCTGTCAGCACTCGCAGTGTAGGATCAGAGTAGAGGCCACGCCAAGGATCAGCAAGGTGGGGAAAGTGTGTTTTGTGTGTTGGGTTCTAGGGTCGTGTTTAATGAGTGACCTGGTTAAAACTGACAAAAGGATTAAATGCCAGTTGAAAAATATTTTTTTTAAACTGAGAATCTGTAGGTCTGCAGCTGAAAACAACCCAGGTGGTGTGTGTGTGTGTGTGTGTGTGCATTTTTTGCATCCTTATTTCCTAGCCTTTAGTTTACAATTTACTTTAACACTTGACAGCCTCTTGGCAGTGTCTGGTTGTCTGCAACTGTTGCAATAAAAATGCAGTTTGACAAGTCTATTGCACTATATACTCAGTTTGTCTACAATACATATGTTGTCAGTCAGCCATCTTGACTGTTTCAGGAGCTGGGTGTGGAGATTCAATGGGCCTCATGCAAGAACCGTTCGTACGCACAGATTTGTTCTTAAGTTGTGCGTACGAGTGATTTAGGAGAATTTGTGGCATTCATCAATGTTTTCGTATTCTAAGATTTTTTTCAGATATGAACAAAATTTACGAGTGGTCCAGACCTGTCGTATATTTTACGAACAGCCAGTCTGCTGTTATCCAGACGGATTTTCTCCATTAATACAGTAACTTTATATTTCGTTACTTTGAAGATATTTTGAGTTGAAAATAAATTACACTCCATAATTACGTTGACAATATGCTATTCTGCTT